CTAGATATATTTCCGTAAAAAAATATTCGAAAGCTTATATATAAAATTCGTTTTTATAAATATACCAATACGTTTGCACTTTGTATCAAAAGGATAGTAATGATTTTAAAATTAATTTATAATGCGACAGATAATGCGAAACTCATAATTCCATAGCTTCTTTACATGCTGATTCTTCTGTCGTATCATTAATTTGTCTATGTATAAGAGCGGCAGTGTCTTTTGGTCTCAACATAATATTCCCTTTGTGATTATTGAAAAATTTACATTCATTTAAAAAGATATTTTTAAGAGACACACTGCTCAATTCGCTTCCCACGTCCACGCTTTCCGAACGAGTTATTTTCTCAGTTTCCATCACTACAGCATGTCCGCTCTCAATATTCTCGAAAGAGCATTTGGTTGCAGTAAAACGTGCATTGTCATTGAGCTAAAAAAGTGATATACATTCATTACAAACATTCCAAAAAGTTGTGTTGCCATCAAGATTAATGCAAAGTAATCACCCGTACACCCTCGGAGCAGTTTTCAAATTGACAATTATTCATAACAACTTCACCAGTTCCATAAATAATGATCGCTGTACCTAATTCTTGAAAAATTGTATTTTCAAGTACTAATTTCGCTCCTGGCATAACAACTGCACCCCATTTAGCACTACTATTTGCAGTGACATTAGAGACACGTATTCTAGAACCAGTTACAATTACAGTACAGTCTTTTCTGATAATTATGCCTGCCTGAAGTAATCCCAAGTCGATGCAGACATTCCTCAACAATATCTATTGAATTTCATAAATAAATCAATAATAGAAATTTCAGAAACATTGACAAATTTATTACTGAAGCATACCTCATTGCCAGAAAAATCAAATAGAGACGATGACATATTTGTGTCATGTGGAGAAATTATAGTGTTCTCTGTGTTAGAAATTCCTATAATTGTACCTCCTTCTTGTAATCCAGTGGAACCTTTAATCGAATAATTTCCTTCACCTAACAAAATAGTATCGCCTGTCTCAAATATCTCCATAACATCATCCAAATATCCACATATTCTGAAATATAAACAATGTAGAAATTATAATAATTTTTCAATCTTTCCTACAACTCTTTTTGCTTAATAAAATCGAAATGTACTTAATAGGTGCATCCTCAGGCAACATCGTTTGAATTTTGTTAGAAAGTTCCTGGAGTTCTTTCACAATGCCACCCAACCACACAAAATAATACACGCTTTTCCCATTTTCGTTATCGCTGCGCTTTTTTCTTCTGTTATATGATTGATTCTTCCCAAGCAATCCTCTCAACGAAGGATTTTCCAATAGGTCCATCTCTGCTTTAATCTGCTGAAGTCGAAAGTGGAGTTTCATCAAGGTACATGTTTCCTGTGCTAGCTCTTCAGGCATATCATCTTCCTGAAAATCTTCTGGTAACAAAGATTCACATGTTGAAATTTTCTTCTGTATCTCCTTTCCTTCACTGATTAATGACTTAATAATGTCACACGTTTCCTTATTGATAATTCCGTTATTCATGTCAAAGTACAATCTGATCCTACGCTCCAGATGTTGCTCCACCCAATCAATATCATCATCCTCGTCCTCATCCCATGGCATCCACAGGTAATTGTAGAAAAATCGTAGTCGATCCACGCAATGTGCAGTACCTACTATATCCAAGCTGTGGTTTTGCTGATCGATAGTAGGATACAACTCAACCAGTGACACTTCATGCTTCTCGGGTAGATGTATGTCATCTTGAACAGCTGTGATCTTCACTAAAGCGTTCAACATTGGGAAATCCATCCCCAATACCTCCACCTTCACAATCGTTGGATAACGAATACCATAGTTCTCGCATGTCATACGCGATATCTTCCACAACGCCTGCCAGCCGACCGGCTCAATGACGAGCTCCACGTCGCAGACCCATTCCGTTCGAATGCTCGAGGCGGGCACTATTCTCCCTTGTGCGGACAGTATGTTAGTATACTCCTCCAATCTCTCAGCGAGGGTTTTATCATGGAAGGTGTATATATGTGTATGCTCGCTCATTTTACATATATTCACACACGGTCCTATTTACGAAATTGTCCAGATGATTCCAGGTGATTCCAAGTCTCTAATGCGTGTATAGAGTATTGTGTTTCAAAATTATCACACCACGTTTTTCGAAAATCAGAAGCGACATCGAGGAGACGCCATCAAAAATGAACGTTCATATAATTAACAGCAGGCTCATTGATGGCTCGTTGGATAATAGTAGAATGCCGATTAATTATCGGTAACTAAGGAGTCAATTGTGTTTCTTTGAATTAAAAAATTATAAAAGTGAAAAGTATAAGAATGAGCATTTTCATGATGTAAAAATGTAATTTTGAACGGAAAGAACCGGAAATCTCCGACGTGGCTCCGAACTTCATGCTGCGCTTGCATATGATCGTATAACCTCAAACGTAGAAATTTTTACTTGTGTTAACCTTTCCGCATGGAAATGTTGATCGAACAGAATCAAGTTTAGCCCATATAAATTTCTTGTTCTCGAACTTTCGCTATCAATGATCATTGAATTACAGCCAGCGAATCAGAAGCATTATCGTGTCTATATTTATAACCCAATGGTTCTATTTATGTCACAGATGATTCGCCGAAAATAAACCTTCGCAAAACCTACGTCTGGATAGTTCCACATCGTCTATAATACAATGCACAAGCATTCCTGGATCATTTCCGAAAATGAGCACCAAATGAATTGCGAACTACGATTTTAATTATAGTGTCAAAGTTTTAGGAAATTGAATTGTTCACGTTACTCTTGGAAGCTCGTTTTAAAAACTTAGGTCTATCTCCCTCTGGATTAATTGTAAATTGTCAACAAACAAAAGGTGAGACATTCAAATTGAAATCTGTTTTTTCTTTTGATATTTCTTAATCTTTACTGAAACTTTTAGTATCAGCTTTCCATTACAAAATTTATTGTGACAATTGATTTTAATTTACGTATAGATGTTATACTAAAAATTGTATTATTATTAAACTATTATTGTCCGGAAAGTTCGTGCCGACTAACCTATATAATTTAATAAATATTAGGTGTAATAAAAAGAAATCCATTATTTTTCCATTCAATTTCATGCAAAAATAATGAATTTCTTTTTACTACATTTAATATATACTAAAATTTAAATCTTCTGCGTTTCAATTTTCCTTCAACATTGGCACGACTTTTCGGACAACCCAATATATATATATATATACACTAACACTACATGTGTATTTATATAATTTAGAATAATATGTTTCATAATTTGAAATAATTTTATATTGAAATAGTATTGGAATATAATGTTACTTTAAAATAATGTTGAAATAATGTTATATTTCAGTCTTATTTTTTTATAATTTTGAACTTGAAGAATGCTTTTATTTTAAAAATAATCTAATAACAAAAATTAATAAATCATGAAGAATCATATGTTCTTTTAACTTCAAATTATGTGTTTCTGTTACAAGTTAAAATATTTACAAAATTATGGAAAAAATTCATATATAAAGTAATATATATAAAATATCACAAATACAGAAGAATCTTTTCATAAAATTATTCTTTATATAACAATACGTTGAAATATTATACATTGCAATATCTTATATTTTTTATTATAGAGCATTTCTATCATGACAAAGACAGATGTGACTGCACAGGAGTGGAAAGAGAAGGGCAATGAAGAGTTTAACAAAGGCAATTGGTCTGAAGCTTTGAGTTACTACACAAATGCATTGAAATTAGTAGGCGAGGATAACGTTGAGAAAGCAGTGTACTATAAAAATCGAGCTGCTACTCATTTGAAACTACGCGATTACGAAAACGTAATTAAAGACTGCGACAATGCATTAAAGATATGTTTTAACGATCCCAAGGCATTGTTTCGTAGATGTCAAGCATTAGAAGCGTTAGAAAGATTTGAGGAGGCATATCGAGATGCAAGGAATATCATTTTATCTGATCCTAATAATAAAGTTATTCAGCCTATAGTGGCGCGCTTACATGAAATTGTACAAGAACGTCATAAGGAAAATTCACGTATTAGTGCCAAAGTAAATACATACATAATTATTATAAATTTTATTAATTTACTGGACATAATTTGATCTAGATAATATAACATTTTTTATATGTTATTTTTATATATTATGAATATATTAATACATTCTTGTTTTACTCAATGTTACATAATTTGGCTGATTTAAATTCTTTATTTTATAATTGTCGAGTAAATCTACATACATTGTATATAGATAAAAATTATATGAATATAATATTTTACAATTAATCTATATTATATTATAGATCATTATATTTAAGTACTCTTAATTTTGTTTTAGGTATCACAAATGCTGGATCTAGCGTTTAACATGAGCGTAGATAAAGAAAAACGTGAAACTGCTATGAATAATCTGCTTGTGCTCGCACGTGAGAGAGCTGGTACCGAGGAGATCTTTAAACAAAAAGGTGTATTCAAAATAGCAGAGCTTGTGAAAATTGAAAAGAGTGAAGAAGTAATCTGTAGCGCGATTCGTATTGTAGGCGAGTTATGCAAAAATAATATTAGTCGAACTGAATCTATTATAAAAGACCTTGGTGTGCCTTGGTATCTAAAAATGATGAACAGCACATCTACAGAGAGAGTCAACGCATCTCAATATTGTTTACAGGTAAATATTAGGAGACGCTAAATGTATAATTATACGTAACTAAATATTTATTGTATATATTTTGATTTCAGAATATACTAAACGCTTACAGTGGTATGGATAATAAACCCGATTCTAAACCTGATAAGGGTTTGTGTGAGGCGTATAAGAAAGAAATAGACACGATTCTGTCGTGTTTATTGTATAGTATAACGAATAGAACAATAACAGGCCTTACAAGAGATGCAATAATAGAACTTGTTATGCGTAACATTCATTATACTGCATTAGATTGGGCTGAACGATTGGTTGAGCTTCGCGGTTTGCAGAGATTGATGGAAGTGGCTAGTGAAATGGAAGAATGCAAATATGAATCCTCAATGAATATCACATCTTCCACGCGAACTATAATTAGTGTATGCTTAGCTAAAATATATGAAAACATGTACTATGATGCAGCTAAGGAGAAATTTAGCAACGCTATCGAGGAGTTTATTAAAGATAAATTGCTTTCGCCTGACATAGAATCGAAGGTACGAATTCTGTAATTTCTGATCTTTTCTATTTATTTTATTCCACAAAAGAAAAGAATATACATTCTTTAATATAGCCTCTTTGAACGATTTGAAATCTATTTTTATTTAAAGCAAAAATGTCTCAAAGAAGATTATCTTTTTAATTTTTAATATTATGTGTGTATATTTTAAGTTTTAGATTACAATATTATAACAAAAATTGAATCGATATTTATTGAAGAATATGATTGGTTTTTATCTATATTGTATTTTCTAAAGCTTAATTTATTAAAGATATTTTTTCTAATTTTTATTAAAATGAAATAAAACTATAACTAAGTATGTTTATTAAGAAAAGATAAATATTTCGAAGTTTAAAAATTTATTAATTATTATCGATTTTAGATACGTGTAGTAGTTGCGATAACAACTTTATTATTAGGCCCATTAGACGTTGGAAATGCAGTTGTGGCTAAAGAAGGGATTTTGGAAATGATCCTTGTTATGGCAGGAACAGATGATGTATTACAGCAAAAAGTGGCTTGCGAATGTATCGTGGCTGCTGCGACTAAAAAAGATAAGGCCAACGCGATTATAAGTCAAGGTGTAAATATATTGAAGAAGCTATACATGTCTAAAGATGATTCAATTCGGGTTCGAGCATTAGTGGGTTTGTGCAAGTTGGGTAGTTCTGGAGGCACGGATGCAACTATTAGACCATTTGCGGATGGAGCGACAAAGAAATTAGCCGAAGCTTGCAGACGATTCTTGATCAATCCCAAAAAAGATAAAGATATGAGAAAATGGGCTGTAGAAGGTCTGTCATATCTCACTTTCGATGCTGAGGTCAAAGAAAAGTTGATCGAAGATCAACAAGCCGTACAAGCAATGATTGAGCTCGCTAAAACTGGTGATCAATCGGTCCTCTACGGCGTGGTCACGACGTTGGTAAATTTATGCAACGCTTACGATAAACAAGAGCTCATACCTGAGATGATAGAATTGGCAAAGTTTGCGAAACATCATATTCCTGAGGAACATGAACTAGATGACATCGACTTCGTAAATAAAAGACTGTGTGCGTTAGCGAAGGCTGGTGTGACTAGCGCTCTAGTGAGTCTCGCCAAAACGGAGAGTCAGAACAGCAAGGAATTGATAGCCCGCGTTTTCAACGCGATATGTAGTCAACAGGAAGTGAGAGGAATGATCGTTCAACAAGGTGGCACGAAGGCTTTGCTACCGTTAGCGTTGGATGGCACAGATAAGGGAAAGAAGCAAGCCTCGCAAGCCTTGGCTCGTCTGGGAATCACGATAAATCCGGAAGTCGCGTTTCCCGGTCAAAGGATCATGGAAGTTGTTCGACCGTTCATAAATCTCCTGAACCCGGAGTGTTCCGCTCTCGAAAATTTCGAGAGTCTAATGGCTTTGTGTAATTTAGCTGGTGTGAACGACAGCGTGCGGAAACGTATATTGAAGGAGGGAGGATTCCAGAAGATCGAGGCTTATATGTATGAGGACCACGATATGTTGAGACGTGCGTCCACACAAGTTATAAATAATTTGATAATATGCGAGGACGTAATTCGATACTTCGAACACGAGAATGATCGAGTCAAGTATCTTGTGATATTGTGCGAGGATGAAGATGAAGATACTAGCATAGCAGCAGCTGGAGCTCTAGCGATGCTAACGTCTGCCAGCGAAAAGGCTTGCGAGAAAGTTTTTGACTCGAAAGATTGGCTGGAATCTCTGCGCTTTTTACTTGCTAATCCAAACAGTGACGTACAACACAGAGGTATTGTAATTGTGCTAAATATGATAAGAAGTACTAAAGACGTCGCTGCAAAACTCATCGAAACAGACATAATGGAACTGTTGATGGCATTGAGCAAAAACGATACTATGCAAAACGAGAAGATCAGGGAATTGGCATCTACTGCTTTAGAGGCTGCTGCGGAATGGAAACTGATCAAGAAAAATAATGAAGAAAACGAATCATCACAAAGCACTAGTGTAGAACATGTCGCTTAAGGAGATTGTATGTATGAACATTTAGATAATATTAATTAAGATCTAAATGTCATATATGTTCCTCTAAATGTCATATATTTTAGACCGAGTGCCTTAAACGATAAAATGAACGTTACAATGAAATTTTTGAAATATTGTCGTTTTAAACATATTCATGCGATTATATTCATATTTAGATATCTTTAAATATATCTCCGTACAATTACATTTGTTATATAAATTTGCCAAAGTGCAATTATTTTTTAAATATTATATATTATATAGGATCGTATATGTGATAACACAAACTATAGAAATCAATATCATTTTTTAAATATTTGTGTGAAATAATACATGCACGGAGATATTGTATATAAAGTTTTAGTAAATTAACTATAAATATATTAGCATGAAATCATAATTAGAATAGATAATCATTATCGCATCAAGTTATATAAGAATAATATATTTAAATACAATATTACATATTTATTTATAGATAATATCGTATATAATTATGTTATACACCAAAAATGTCATCCATTTAACAACAAGTACATTTACTTTAGTCCTTTATAAAAAAAATTAAATATATATTAGAAATTCTCTCAAAAAAACAATGAATTTTAAATAATAAATTTATTTGATTAATAATGTAAAGTGTGGATAAAATACCAGAAAGAAATGATCATCGATACAGATCATTTTTCATGACTTTTCTTTTCAATTTTAGTATTCATTATATTAAATCTCAAAAAATTATATATTATATATTTCAAAAAAAAAAATAAATTTTTTTGGACAATATAAGAAAATCTTTATTAAGAAAATTGTTAATTTTCAACAATTTTATTTAGTCCGAAAATTTATTTTAATAGAAAACTACAATTTACAAACAACAAATGTAATAAACTAAAACTGTAATTTTAACGAAATCATAACAATTTAAAAAAATGTTTCAAATATTTAAAAACGCATGCATTAACATATTTGAAATATGCATCAATATCATAAATTTAAAAATGGATGAGCCAATGCTTGCTCTGCGGTAATACGTGTTCTGAAATCTAAATCTAAAAGTTTCATCAAAAGATGATACGCCTCCTTTGGATATTCGATATCTGGCGGTACCTTAAAGTTTTATAATATTTTGAGATAAAAATAAAAATATTATATGCATCTGAAGCAACAAGGAGAAAAATTAGATATAAAAATTTAATTTTCGCGGCAATTTTAAAAGGCAATTCTATTTGACAATAAAATGAAATTATATCACGAATATTCTACGTCACAATAATTTTAATATTTTTTAACATATAACACTCAAAAAAGATTCAATCAATGATTATATTGCTTTCTCCTGCTATATTGCTTCATTAAATAAAAAAGATTACTTAAAATATAAACGAGATATACCTTATGTATACTATTTTGTATATCATATATCATACTTTTGTTTCTTTGTTTTAACTTTATGCACAAAGATTTAATATCCACGCCTGGCAAATTTTCACTAAAGATAACCTTTTTGCCTGAATTAAATAAAAAGAAAATAAATAACACATAAATAACAAACATAATACAAAAATTAATATAAAAAATTAGAAATTAAAGAAATGAGAAACAATTCGAATAAATAAAATCAGAAAAAACTCGAATAAATAAATCATTTGTCACAATCGCAGTATTTGTTAAAATACCTAATTTTTGTGCACACTTTTGTACTTGTTTAGAACCAAATATCGTTGTAATTTCTGCTAAAGCTGTACAGTCATCAGGTGAACGAAAAAACGATTGTGAACCACTAAGTATGCATAGCATTATCACACCACAAGCCCAGATATCAATCGCTGAAATTTTATATTTTCCTTTTAGTTTCTACAGATATTTAATTTCTAGAAATAGTTTTATGCATCGTGCAGTTCAGTATTAATATACCTGATGTTTGCATAACATATTTTAGTAAAACCTCTGGAGCACGAAACCCAGGCGTGCCCGCACGAGGTGCCTGCTGTTGCGGTTCTTTTAAACACATTACGCACACTTTAGGTTTTCCAAAACAGTTGCATTTATTATTCACGTTTCTCTTAACAGCATCAGATTGGAGGCTTACGTTATTCTAAAACAAATTATAACGAAAAATAAGAGAAATATGTAAATCATTTCAATATAACTCATAAAATGTTACTCCACTTCATTCGATCTCTTCCGCTTTGTCCCATGTGCTTCAATACTTTCTCCGCTTGTTCTCATATTTTTCTCCACATAATATTCTTGCGCAAGACCAAAATCCACTAACAAATATCTAAATAAAAAATTGTGTTAATCATTTTTCGAGATGTAGAAAAACAAAGTGCAAAGTTCCTTTTGCACAAGTTTACCTTTTATTTTTACGATCATAAAGAAAGTTACTAGGCTTTACATCCCTGTGTATGATATGAAATTTATGAACTCTTTTTAAAGCAATTAATAGTGCTCTCATATAATCCTTTGTTTCGTCAACAGTCATATCTTGGACGTATTCCTTGTCGTAATTATTACTGTGAGTATTTTTGATTTTACAAAATAAAGACTTGAATGTAAATTGCAAACTTACCGCGAACCTATCATGCCTCATGTATGGCATTACAAATACTACTGAACTACGATGCCTCAAACACAATTCTAATTCAACGATGTAATCTTTTCCTCTAAAATATTCAATATGTTCTCATTAGTGTTAACTAATATTTACAACAATGGTACATTGTTTCGGAGTAAAATTTATCCAACGTACCCTATCTGTTGCAAATACTGCAATTCGCGTCTGATTCTATCGGGATGGCAGGTAGGAATTAATTGTTTCAACGCAAATTTCTTACGTCCGTCGGAAGACTTTAGAGTAGCTAGAAAGACAGAGCTAAACGCACCTTTTCCAACTTTGTAATGCACGTTGAACAACTTATTCACTATCGGAATTGATGACGTAAGACTAGCACAGCTATCTGCTGGAATAATAATATATATCATTATTAAACTTGTATATATTTAAAAAACAAAATTAAAATATTTATTTTGCTAAGAATAATATCAATCTTCTGAATTTGATAAATCTGATGCCAAAATTGATTTGAATGCCAAAATCTATAATAAAGTTATAATACTAAGTCTGTAAGGTCAATTTAATTTATATTAATTAAAAGATATTAATTAATTTCAAAGAATTAAAATGATATAATTCGTATAAAAAAGAATGAATAAAGAATTAAGTTTATCCGAATACTAGTAATTCAAATTTATAGATTTAATATATAGAAAATTGAATTGTTTGACATTTTTGTATAAAATGATACAATAATAAGTATAAGAATTAAGATGTAATGATAAGATAAAAAATATATTGTATTTGAATTTAATAATAGTAAATATAAACATAATATAAACATAATTATATTTAGTTTATAATTATATAAGTTTACTACTACTAGTAAATTCAAACATAATAATGCATCTATTTTTTAACTTATTTCACAGAGAAAACTGAAATATTTTTATTTATCAGAATCATTATTCTATCATTATTATATCAGAATTAGGTGCTTTAATTACGTGCAGTAAGAGATATAGATGATATATGTAATATAATAAATCATTGCATTCTTGTTGTTTGCTAATATTTAGAAATGTGGGCATATATTTTAAATATTTTTATCTAAAACATAGTACTTGCATTTCAAGTGTATTTTATATTTCAGCAGAATACATGACAGTATTACGTATTTTGTATTTAAAATCAAAAGGTAGAAAATTTTTGTATTTTGTAATGTAAGTAATAATATTGATAGAAAATATTGATCCTAGTATTTGAAATACAAAATATTTTTATGTTTCATGTTTTAATGAAATATAAAATACAAAATATTTTCATGTATTTCACTGAAATACAAAATACAATTGTCTTACAAATATTATTTTTCAAATAAAAGTATTTCAAATACATTGCATCTCTGCTAATATTAAACCAAGATGAAATGATCACTGTTGAACTTCTTATTGGAAAACATTACATCTAATTTGTTATCCAAATAATCACTGCATAAAGAATCTAAGAATCTAAAGAATCTAGACCTATGTCAGCTCCAGAAAGTTCTGATTGAATAGAAGAGCTAAATTAAATAGAAGATTGATTCCAAATCATAAATATTTTCAAATCATAATAATTAAACGAATTTTAATTCTCATATTCAGTTCAATCCATAAATCATTTATAAATCAATTAACAATAAAATAATATGTACAAAATACTTGAAATACTGCACAAAATTGCTATTCATGACAAAGATACTTCAGAATTTATCTAAAAAAATAACAGAACCCAATAGTTTGCTTTTGTAAGTAACTGATAAAATAATAAAACTGCGTATATATTTATATAGCATAATGTAAATATATCTCTATAGCAAACAAAATAGCAATCTTTTTCAAGAGTAAGAATAATACCGTCATCACTGTCTTCTTGATATGAATTATTGGATTCCATCTTGTCTCCTATTTCTGGAATATTTTTAGTTCATGATATCAATCATATCAATATGTCATCAAACTCATTTTCTTCTACGTCTGTGTCATTCACTGTTAATGATTAATTACTTCTTACTTAATTATTAGCGTAATACAGCTGTGTGGTGTAACTTGAACATAACCTTAGAAATTGGCGCCATATTCATTATATTCGCGCCATTTGTGGCGGTGCGATAAAGGCCGATTCTCATGAGATTAAAGTTAACATTTCCTCTGTAAGGCCATATTCCAAAACTTCCTCTCTGAGGAAAATTTTACTCGAAAATATATAGTACACGTGGCGTTACACTATAAGACATAGAGTAAAATCTTCCTTAAAGAGAAAGTTTTGGAGCGTAGCCTAAGTTGATAGTTGGTTACAAGATAGAAAATTTCTGGAAACTCGAAAATCTTTCTATCCTACAACCAATAAACAGCTTAAAAAATTTGTTCATGTTAAATGAAAGTACTAACCTAATTTTTTTTTTATATTAAAATCAATAAAAATCAATAATTTTATGATTTTGTAAATCTAAATTCTAATAAAATTAAATATTAATATATTAATATATTAAAAAATTACAACATGTTTAAAAAAGGATGTAGATATCACTTATTAAATCAATCACTTATTATAATCCAAAAAAACAAAATTCCGAATTAATTATTCCGCTCTTTTTCTTTCATATATCAAATGTAAATAACAAATTAGTAATTTTATTTAATTTATTCCTCTAATTTTTCTCATTTGTCAAAAAACAATAATACATATTAATATATTATTTTAATAGTATAAATTTAATAGTATAAATATTACTCAATAAGTTATAATTACGGATTTGTCGAATCAACAAAATTGCTCAAAAGAAAATTTTGAATTGTACAATCGTCATATTTCTAATTATTTTTTTTACATATGAATAACAATAGAAAATCAATAAATTTATCCGATTAAACAAATATGTATATTACATTGTATATTACATTTTAAATTGATTACAATTTCAAAATTGATTTTTTAGACTATGTGATATGACAGTCTTTTGTTCTACACACGATTGGTTCATTTCTCCGCTCATTTACCCACGTCTGTTTTTTCTTGGCTGTTTTATGCAATTATTTGCGATTATCTATCCGCGCAAATTTTTCTAGCTTCTCGAAAGATCTTGAACGATAATCAATTATTTAAATTACTTGCGATAATAACTAAGACCAGCTGTTTCATGATTTACTATGTACAAAATTTACTCTTGTAAGAATTTGTTTCTATAATAGATTTGTCGGAAAGATATTTCCTTCAGGAAAGAAATCACTCCATGAAGGTATAGCATATTTAATGTATAAAAATCGTACGAAATCGCAGATCAGTTCATCAAGAGTTACGATAATCATATGGTTCAATATATGATCAAGATAATGATTCCCATTCGATTGAACCGAACACATCGAGCGTTGCAAAGAATTACAGGAGGTCGCCACGCTCGACGACCTTGCTTTGACTTTGGGATGCCAACTTATCGTGGCTTAGCCTCGTCGAGCTGTGATCGGTTTTGTGACGTTACGTATCTCGTTGGTAAAGGGTTAACAAGGCTTGTCATATCTAGCGATACACGCCTCTTCTCCAAGAATATCGCATTAAACGGAGTAATAAGAGAAAACACCATCGCAATGGCATTCAACAAGCTTAGCATCGATAAAGTGGAGTTGGCGGACAAGAGGGTGCTTATACGGTACGTGTATGGTTCTCTGAAAGCTCTTTTTTCTGTTGTTTTGCTGTACTACTTATTGTTCTTGCTAAATTTTATACTTATCCCATACAGTACAAATCATTCCAGCAATGTTACAGCATTATTGCAACATTTTAACAATATTGCAGCAACATTGCAATGTTCCAGCAATATTGCAGTAAATAATAGTGACAATGTTCAGCAGAGAAAACAGCTTTGCAATTCTTATTCTTTATAATATGATTAATTTATATATTTAGATCCAAAGGCAAGACCAATCATATTGAAGAATTTTAAAACAGTTGCAAAACTGCTCTTTCTGATGAATGCAGTCATTCAGTAATGTTGTAACAATGTTACTGCAAGTTTAGTGCTGTATATTTCATTTGAGTATAAAAAGTATACAAAATAGTTTAGAAAAAACAGACCCAAAATCTTTTTAAGAAAAGAAGGCAGTAAGTAATCATACACAAATACATGCATATAATGGAACAAAATAACTTTCCAGGGTTGATTTCAATGTGCCGCTGAAGGAGGGTAAGATAACAAATAATCAGAGAATAGTCGCTGCACTGGACACAGTGAAATATGCTATTGATAAAAAGGTCAAGTCGATCGTGCTAATGTCTCATCTGGGCCGACCAGACGGTAAGAGGGACGAAAAGTATACATTGAAACCTGTGGCCGAAGAATTGAAAACTCTGTTAGGAAGAGAGATTTTGTTTTTGAATGACTGTGTCGGACCAGAAGTAGAAACTGCTTGTGCCAATCCAGCATCCGGTACTATTATTTTGTTGGAAAATCTGAGATTTCATATCGAGGAGGAGGGAAAAGGAGTAGGTCCCGATGGAAGTAAGGTATGAAAAATTATTTTCATTACTCAAGCACTTTAATTACTTTAATCCTGTACAATCTGGATTTTTTTTTACACAAGCTAAATTAAACAAAAATAAAAATTTTACGCTCAAAATTTTTTTGTTCAAATTTCAATTTTTATTATAATAAAGATTTTAAAACAAATTAACATTTGAGTTAAAAAATTATTTGATAATATAATAGAGATGTTAGAAAGTAACCTTGAATTTTCCACATTTTTTGAAATCTTAGAATAACAAAAAAAACTTTAGTTGTACAAAAAGATTTAGATTACAGATGGAGGAAGTAAAAATATAATTGCAGATATTAATTTAATCCTTAGGATTGAGTTATTCATGTCCTACATATTTTTTTGAAATATTAGAAGCTAAATAAAAAATTTCTTTTTTTCTTTTTTTTTAATACATCACTTTACCAATACTTTCTAAAAATGTTAAAATATATGTAAGAATCACTTCATAATTTTTGTATGCTTGTAAACATGATATAAATTAATTTCGAACATGAATTTCGATCCATCATGTATAGTAAAAGACTGAAAAATCATGTATATTAAGAATTCAATGTAAATTATTTTAAAATATGTAAAAATATGACTTAAGACTAATATATCATTTATTTTAGATTAAAGCTGACAAAGATAAAGTTGCTGAGTTTAGAACATCTCTGAGAAAGCTAGGAGATGTGTATATAAACGATGCCTTTGGAACCGCTCATCGTGCTCATAGTTCTATGATGGGAGATGGATTTGACATAAGAGCAAGCGGTTTTCTGTTGAAGAAGGAACTCGCATACTTTGAAAAAGCTCTAGATAATCCAGAAAGACCATTTTTAGCTATACTCGGAGGGGCTAAGATTGCTGACAAGATTCAATTAATTAATAATCTTCTGGATAAAGTGAACGAAATGATTATTGGAGGTGGTATGGCCTATACATTCTTAAAAGTGTCCAAATGTATGAAGGTACGTAATATTTGGTAAGAATTGTAAACAATACTGATATCTAATTAAATATTTCTGATTTTTATATTTATGTGATTCTAGATTGGAAACTCATTGTTTGACGAAGAAGGAGCAAAAATTGTGAACGATCTATTAGATAAAGCAAAAAAGAATAATGTCCAAATTCACTTGCCAGTGGATTTTGTGACCGCCGATAAATTTGCAGAGAATGCAGCAGTAGGAGCTGCGGATGTTAAGTGTGGTATACCTGATGGATGGATGGGTCTTGATGTTGGTCCAAAATCAAGAGATTTGTTTGCAGGCAAGTACATTTTCTTCATTACTCATAGCCAATTATTATAAATTTTTCAAAAAATATATAGTAAGCTGCCAAAAATTTTCAACTAATGAGTAATTATATTCCTTAGATAAAGAATCTTTAGAAATAAAAGCTCTAATATAAAAGTTTAATATATTCTATTTAAAATATCGTGTTCTTAGTCTTACATTCAAATTAATTATAACAAGAATTTTAACTTATAAATTAAAATAGATTAATACACAAAAAAAACAGATAAAACACATTAAAAACAGATTAACATACAAAAATTATTTTAAAAGTATATGTTTTTTTTGCCAGAAACTTTTAACAGCCACCGTATATGTAATAATACATTAAGTTTTTGATATTAGAAACATTACTAATTATATTATCTTGATACAGAACCAATTAAAAGAGCAAAGGTGATAGTATGGAATGGTCCAGTGGGAGTGTTTGAGTTTGAGAACTTCAATAAGGGTACAAAAAGTTTAATGGACAATGTCGTTGAAGCCACAACTCAGGGAACGATTACTATTATCGGTGGAGGTGACACGGCAACATGTGCAGCTAAGTGGAAAACGGAGGATAAAGTGAGTCACGTGAGCACCGGTGGTGGTGCAAGTTTAGAACTTCTGGAAGGTAAAGTATTGCCTGGAGTTGCCGCTCTTTCTTCATCGTAAATCTGTCTCCGAAATATTAATGTGAAATAAAATAATGATCAATCGTTCTGACAACGTGACATTCATCAGTTCTATAGAAATTTAATGAGTAGCGTTCGAATGTTGGGAGTCATGATTTCTTCCACCATGATTGGAGTGACAGAGATCTTAGTCAAATTTGGCGTTAGTGAGATTCACATAGAAAGATGTTCACAAAGATATATCTATTTTTTTATTTTTAACTTGTCAATATAATCATGTTGCTTTGTTTTTCGAAATCTTAACATTCTTTTACGAGAAATATTAAACTTATACGTTGGCATACTCTTAGATCTCTATGATATAATTGTATTGCTGTACAGTTTAGTATATAACGCATCAAATATTATGTATATTATGTGCGAAAATATAATATACTAAGACAATATGTATCATTAGCTATTAAGTAAATAATTGTAAGGAGAGACAGTTGCCGTTATACTAATAATGTAATCGTCCCTGCACGGTAAAAAGTTCGCTCATAGTTTGAACACAAACTTCGAATTACTCTGCATCGTATTAAAATGTAAATAACTTTTATTTAATAGAGTAATTATATACTTTCGGCCATCTGTATAATGTCGAAAATAAATACTGAACGCATTTTTTTATGCCTTTTTTGATACCTGTGTACTAAACGGCTTGATACATGTATATGTAATTGTAAAATTATATTTTTATAGTAAATAAGTATATATATATATATATATATA